GAGTGGATATTGGAATATATGATGAGGATGAAGACAACCTATCAACATCTTTGCCCTTCACTTTTGAAAATGGCAGAAGTATGTCTTTCCATGCCAGTCAGTAATGCATGGCCTGAAAGAGGTGCCTCAGCCATCAAACTTCGTTCAAGTTTAAAGAATGACATGTTGGAATCACTGCTACATATCTCCATCAATGGTCCCAGTACCAATGATTGTGATGATCTGGTGAAAGAGGCCAACAATGGTTAGCCAAGCCGAGAAGGAAATTGGCAAAACAGTCCAATTAGGTACAAGCACCTACCACTTCTACTTCTGAAGCTGCAGTTCAAGTTGACATGCAATCCACTGATCTCATCACCATGTGGGAAACAGCCATAGCCCTAGATGCAGAGGTGGACCAAATACACCAGGAGTTGGAAAACACTGTACACTAATTCTCACTTAAATAGGTAGATTGCTGTCCCACATGTTTTCCCTCATAGCATAATTTTACTTTGGCACTCTTAAATCGTTCATTGTGTTTAATATTTTGCTTATATATGTTGGAGTTTATTCTGAAAATTTCATGTAAAAAGGTTAAAACGCCGCCTGATGAGATTTTTTGCAAGTCGTATATGTGGCTGAAAATAGCATGTCCAAATCAACAAAACACTTCTATAAACCCTAGTTGTAGATATTGAAGCAGTTTCATTGAGTAAATTATCAAGTTTACACGTTAGTTTCTAACGCGGTGTAGCTTTTTGTAAGGATTAAATTTAGTCTTTCTCTTTTGTACGTCTTTGCGACCATCTGATCTCTGCGTCCAAGAAAAAGATGTAAATTACGTTACCGTTAATTTAGCATGCCTTTAATACATGTACAATTTGTTTCTCCGTGATCCTTTTTTACTTGAAAAATGGCTATTTCCATGCACTTAACAGAAAGTAATCGAAACTTCATAGATTCGACATTGCCGTTTTAAAAATTTCAATTGCGGATAACGAATTGGACGCTTAAAATGTTTGCCGGTAATTTACGTTACCTATTTTTCTTGCAATATCTAAATAACCCTTATTTATATTAAAAAGAAAGCTCAAAAGTATATTTAGGAGTTCAATGCAAAGTATTAAAGTGGTTTACTTGTGTTCTTAAACTTCAATAATATTTTTTTTAACAAGAATCAGGTAGCGTTGTAAATTACGTTACCGTAACGTAAATTACTGAAATAATAATAAAGGGTGTTTAATGACTTTAATCTCTTTAAACAACTTGACAGTAATGCATGCTATGTCTAAAATCAATTAAGAGGGGTCAAAGGCTAGGATTTCAACATAAAGTGTGGCTCGCCGTCATACGATCCTCTTTTCTCCACGTGGAAAGTACTGAACACACAACTCGTCGTTTGAATTTCAAGTTCCTCGCAAACTTCTTAAAAATTCACAGGGTAGGTTAAACAAACTGCATTACAATCATTCACTTTTTGTACTACAATATTTCTTAATAAAAAAAACATGTACTTGAGCGTAAATGATTGCTAATCAAACTTGTACAAAGTCTACAAATGTTGGTCACGTAAGTTACATTTTTGGTAACGTAAATTACAGGAAAGTTTTTTTTCTTCTTACAGTGAATTTTAAAGTACATTGGGTAAATCAAGGGCCGAAATACAGAAAGCATATCGAGAGAGAAAAAAAGCAAAGCTGGGATCTGTATATTTAGAAAAAGAAAGTAGTAGAGTTAAAAAATACTACAAGCCGACGTGTAGTTTACGAAAGTCGGAACTGCAAGAAAGAAGAGATCGCATCAGGGAAGGTGTAAAAAAGCACAGGGAATGCACTAAATCTACTGTAACCCCCAGACAAGTAAATGTCGTTAAGTTTGATTTTAATAGTGAATCGTTTAAAAGACGGCAACACGAGCTCAAGAAAGCCAGAAAGAAGATAAAAAGTTTGGAGGAACGCCTAGAAACCAGCAAACTAAAAAGAGATTGCCAACGTCAAAAGCTAAAAAGGTCYCAGACAACAAACCGCACCCCTCCAAATGCAAATGAAGAGGAGATGACTCCACGGACCAGGACAGAGGTGCAGATAAGGAACGCAGGTTTAACTCCTAAAAAAGTGCCATCTCAATTAAGGAAAAGACTGGCGTTTTCAAATGTGCTATCTGATGAAATACGCCAGTCTCAAGAAAAAAACAAAAGCACAAAATGTAAGCAGTCCATCCGCSAAATAGTATCTGGCAAAATTCTGAAAAAGTATYGCATGGTCCACACAATGAATCAAGCAACGGGGATCGGGAGAAATTCCCTACATAAATCTACTTGTAAAGATGTAAAGGGACGTGACAAAACTCGTCTCCGAGCCCAAGTCAATGCAAAAATAGAGCAGGTTAAGTCTTTTCTTGAGAGAGATGACAACAGTCGCATGATGCCTGGCAAGAATGATGCAGTACGGATAAAGAGTAAAGTTAAGGTTCAAAAACGCATTCTATGCGATTWCATGTACAATCTACATGCYAAATTTCAAGCCGAGTTTCCAAATGAAAATATTTCTCGYGCAACCTTTTGCAAGCTTYGTCCGAAACACATAATGCTGSCAGTTTTTACCACCCGCGACACCTGCCTTTGTCAACGTCATCAAAACATGGCATTGAAACTCYGTGCCTTGAAAAACAAAGGGGTTACAACCATCACAAATCCAGACAAATTTGTGAACGAAAACGATGAAAGGCAAGTGAAAGAAATACTTGAAAGTCTTGATGGAGAAGCCGTTACTTTTGATCAGTGGAAACGGGTCGAAGAAGACGGAAAGAAGCGYATGAAGCTGATGAGAAAAGCTTTGCAAAAGAATATGTTTGTAGAAGAAGTGGAGAAAGAGACGAAAGAGTTCAGACAACATGTTCATCGTGTTCGCAGGTGAAATCTTTAAAAGAAAAATTACCGAATGACCACGTAATGGTGCAAATGGACTTTGCCGAGAACTATTTGTGCCACACACTGGAGGAAGTGSAAAGTGCCTATTGKAATGGCACAATGGTTAGCCTTCATCCAGCTGTGGCCTACTTCAAAGATGCCAGTGGAAGCATGCAGCACAWAAGYTTTGTGTTCACTTCTGATGAGCTTTCCCACGATGCAGCTGCAGTATTTRCCATTCTAAAGAAGCTAGTGCCMGAATTGAAAGTCCTAGTACCTTCGCTGAAGTTCATTCACTACTGGACCGACAGCCCTACCTCCCAATACCGAAATAAAACTATTTTCGGTATAGTTGCAAACCACCACAGTGAATTGGGCGTCGAGAAGGCAGTGTGGAATTATTTTGAAGCAGGCCATGGCAAAGGGCCGTGCGATGGAGTAGGTGGAACGGCAAAAAGGATGGCAGACGAAGCAGTTAAAACTGGGAAAGTTGTCATCCAAGATGCCAAAGAATTCTTTGCGTGGGCCTCTCGAGAACTAACCATTTCGACGAAGTAYATYTTCTATAGTAAAGATGAGTACCAGCAAACGTCTGCCCACTTGGCCAATGTTCCAACACACAAAGTGAAAGGYACCATGAAACTGCATGCAGTCTTTGGAGAGACATCAAGCAAGATCATGGCAAATGTAACCTCCTGTTATTGCGACAAATGCCTAGGCAACAATGGTGAGTTTAAAGCCAAYAGCTCCTGCGGATGGAAAGCACATGCATCGCTTTCAGAGTACGAGAGGAAGAGTGTAACTGTCAATGTAGACGACTTCGTATGTGCTGTATCACATCACATTTATGGAAAAGGGCAAGGGAAAAAGCAGAGAGCCCACATTCAAGTGGCCGARAAGAAAGGATATAATCTGGGTTGATGTTGCAAACGTTCTTTGCGTAATTGAACCTCCAGTTCCAGTTGGAAAGACCGGACGCTCGTTACAGATCACATCGGCAACGTTGGAGCTTATTGACAAAAAGTTCTCAGAATTTGAAAACAAAAACTTAGCGATGATTTGTCATTTGTTGTAAATTACGTTACCAATATTTTTAATGCACTTGATATATTGTTATTAATCGAAGAAGACATAGAGAAGATTTCATATAAAAGTCATTGTTATTATTATATATATCCCAGTGACTTTATCTAATTTCACCAGTTTTATCRTTAGTAGAATAGATATAATTTCACTGCACTTGTTACTGTGATATCAAAAATTATCTCAAAATTTAACAATCCATAAACTTTGCCATTTCTAGGTCAAAATGACTGCTCTACATAGAGAAAGTAATTTTTCCACTTTATTGTATTGAAGAATTAATTAAAAAATGATTGTTAGCAATAATATTGTCATTGTAAATTACGTTACCAAAATATGTAAATTACGTTACCATTCTTTAGAGCCTCTAATATTACAGAGTTGTCATTATATATAATAAATTCGAATTTTATGTCATTATTACATTGTATACCTTTGATATTAAAGTTTTATCTGAAATTTATTTTCGCCATGCAATTGATTAAAAGAAAAATATGAAATGATAACTGAAAATGTCGAATTTATGTCAGTTGCTACTAACTTTAAAAATTGCAGAAGTTCTTATTAAATACAATAAATTAACAAATTAAATGCATAAAATTAAGTGCTAGAATATCCCTTAGCTTTCTAGATGAAATATGTTGATATCCCTTTAATTTGGACTATATTATAGTAATGTATAAGTACCTAATCTTCAACTTCTGAGATTCTTTAAAATTCAGCAGCTAAGGCTTTCTATTTGGCTGTATCTTCTGGACTACTTAACGTTAGCCCGGCAAACTTCAGAACATAACAACTGAAGCATGTAGCTCTCACAGAAAGAACATTCTGGGGGCATACAGGAAACTTTATTTTTCATCATTAAAAACCCTTAATCTACCTATTTAAGTGAGAATGGGTGTGTAGCTTTATTGAAACTCCCAGAACAAGATATTGATTGCAGTGATTTCAGTGATGATGACTATGATAGTGACAGCGAGTAGGCTGCACAATATAACTTGCAAGTCAGAGTAAAAGAGACAGACCACTGATTTTTAAATAAAAAAACTAACATGCTGTAATATATGTTACGTTACATTTCATTTCTTTGGACATTTACTATTACTAAAACAAAGTTATGAACCATCAATATTTATCAAATGTTGTATAGCTATATAAGTTATGACTGTATTAAGTGAAGTTGTATATAATAATGAAAGCAATCAAGCACATGTTGTTGACTGGGTACCGTTGATTGTAAGGTTTTCAATTTTTTTGACTTATGTAATTATTATTAATATACTTTTAAAAGAGGTAGACAATGGCAAATTTTGTATTGTACAATTGCTTTCATTAAGTAAAATGTGATGCCCAAATCGCTGGAAAATGCATTTTTGAGGTGCTACATTTCAAAATTTCCTGGGGGGAATTCCCCCAGACCCCCCTAATTGGAACGGCCGAGTTACAGCCTGTTACTTTTTTAGTACAGCCGTCTATCTTGAATTTTATTGAAAGCTCTGGTCATCATTATGATGATAGTATAATAATGTTCTATATTTTATCATCAGAACAAGTTATTCCCAGCCAGCCATCTCTTCTGGAAGAGGTATCAAAAACAAAAGCTTGATGAACTAAAATCAAAGAATAGGGAAGGTGTCATTGTGGCAGGAGATGGTCGTCACGACAGCATGGAGCACAGTGCAAAATATGGTGCCTACACCATTTTCTGTTGTACTGTCCCAATGATTATACATTTTGCACTAGTCCAGGTAATAATGAACACTATAAGGAACTTAAAGGTTTGGAGTCTTAGTCTAAATATTCACACCCAGTGTATGAACTGTAAAATATTTCTAATCGCAAATTTGTTGCACTTACAGAGAAATCAAGTAGGAAGCAGCAATGCAATGGAGTATGAAGGGTTCAAGAAGTGTATGGAGTATCTGATTGGATATGGCCTGCTTATGACAACATTTATATCTGATAGGCATACCACTATAGCTAGCCACATGAAAAAGGTGTTTTCAAATATTGTACACTATTTTGACATATGGCATTTGAAGAAAAGTGCCCCTGGAGAAAATTAAGCATTTCATGATCAAATATTTATTACAGCTATATATTTATCCAAAAGCTGATATCTTATTGGCCCGCTTATTAAATGTGAATCTATGCATTTTTTTCTTTAGAAATCAGGAAGGTCTTAACAAAAATGTCAAAGGAAAAAAGGTTTGAAGCCATCAAGGAATGGATCAAACCTTGTGAAAGGCACCTATACTGGAGTGCCACTTCCACTCCAAATGGTTCAGGCATTGTAATTTGGGCTAAATTTAAGTCATTTCTCAGCCACATTATTAATGTTCATAAAAACCTTGATGATCCTGTTTTCAACAAGTGTAACCATGGTGTTATACAACCCAGGCGCTGGTTATCAAAAGGTAAACCAATATTTTTGCATAAAAAGTGTATGTTTATCAGATCATTGTAATTGCTATCACTTCAGTGACCGAGGGTGATTGTACATATGTTGGTAAATAAGTAATTTATATATAGGATGATTTAGCATATACATGACTAACAAACATTTGTCATATTTCTACCTATAGGTTCAGAACTATATGAACAAGTCTGCAAGGTGCTGACGAAAGAATCTCTAAAAAAGGGTATTCAGCAAGCTTCCCCTTGGGCCCAGACTAGCTGCTTAGAGGGCTTTCATTCTCTGTTAAACCAGTTTGCCCCCAAGATGTATGCATACTCATATTCAGGAATGTACTGCAGGTAAATATTTGTAATAAATAATTTATTATAATTGTTTGTTACAATTTCACTGTTTTAAATAGTTGAATGCATTGAATACATAAACAAGCAAAATATTGTGTGTACTTCAATGCAAATCTACACAAATCTACACACACAAAATATTGTGTGCACTTCAATGCAAATCTACACAGAGAAGATGAAAAGAGAAAGGACAATTTGAAAACAAGGCAAAAAGTAGTTTACCCAAAATTCAAGAATGGTGAGGCTACCATAAGGAATGTGCGTGTTAAACCAAATTATGGTAAGCATTGATTTTATTATACGTCAACAAAATATGACAATGATTCAGTCTGATTTAAATTATAATCATATGATTTTACTTTATTGTAGATTATGTCGAGGATATTTATCAAACTTTTTTGAGTGCCAGCGGTGTGCAGTTGATTGCTGCCAAAAGTGAACTGAAAAGATCTTCCCCAACACCAATGAATACCATGCTGAATAAGGAACCAAGAGAAGAGGCCATGCAAAAACATTTGCAAAGGAAGAGCATGATTGTACAAGAAGTTCCTCCAACATGTGAAGGTAACTAGTCTGACCAGTTTATTTTATATGAAATTATATATTTCATATCATGTAATACTTGTCTTCAGTATTTATATAATGTATACTTTGAAGTATGTAGTTGTCAACTGAAATACCTACATCATCCTAGTACTCCCAGTACAGACTCCTGTGAACCAATCATCAAGAAGAGTCCAAGCTGATACCGAAAGAGTTCGAAAATGCAAAGAATGCGAACAACCAATGAAAGGGCACAAAAATGTTACTTGGTGTTTACGTAACATTAGGAAACAGAATGAAAGAATGAATTGATTTTGATAATTTTCTTTGTAGCTGACTACTGTCTTGTTTTAACAATATTTCACTGAAGTCTAAAATAATATATTTATTTACAGTTTGACTAAAATATGTATTTAATCATTATGAACATTAAACTTATAGAATTATGTTATTATTTCTGAATCATTGTAGCAAATAGTATATTATAACAAATGCAGTTTTCAGGATAAACAACTTTTGATTTTCATAAAAGAAACCATCGAGACTCAACCTGTTGCTTTGTGCAAAAATAAATTGAAATGAATCTCAATGTTTTCTCTGAAAAGAGGTATACATTTTAATTTAGTAATCTTACAAGTTTTTAAACCAGTGATTCAAGGTCCATTTCAAACCCAGTATATGTATGATCTTTTGATGGCATCTTAAAGGTTTTTCTTATACATGTGTAGGCACATGCAGGAAGTGGAATGCGTTTCTTATATCCGAGATATCCATGTATAAGTCTTGTAAATTCTCTGTAGGCTATGCTACGCAGGACGCTATAATACAAGTAAATAATATGTTAATTTCAATGCCAAGATAGAAATACACTTTAAAATTGAATTTACCTGATACCTCGATAATTTGTAAGACAGAAATTGATCATAAAAAGACAATACAGAGCCGCCATAGCATTTTGCGCCAAATATAACTTTCCAAAGTTCATCATTCGTAACAAATGTTGAAACTGTATAGATTGAAAAAGAATATAAGAATACTTATTAGAGAGTTCAGCAGGTGCAGCACATGACAATAAATCACGTTTTCAAAAATTCCCCTTACCTTTCCTCTGATTCAGTCTGTTTATATTTTTGGCGATCTCGAGTTTTATATTTGTCAGCTGCAAGTCGAAGGCTCCATTTTTGGAGGCAAACTGCTGAGAAGCCTGGATGTTCCGTAACACACTTAGGAATATTATTCTTATCCAAATCTTGAATAACTTCATCAGAATGCATAGCTTCATTACACCCTTCCAATTCTTGACAGCAATAACACTCACTGATGTTTACTAATAGAGCTGTAGAACATTTCCCGTAATTGCACCTAAAGGAAAAAAGTGTTACAAGTTACTAGATGGGAAAACTGAGCATAAAACCTTTCTACCCAGAAGAGTTTCGATCGAAGAAACTTGTAAGCGATGTAATTAAATTGACTCACCATTCATCCACATGTATCTTGCCAGTTAAACGATCTGTAAGCATTTTTTCGAGTTTGGCATGCTGTGCTTCACTTTCTTCGTACTCGTTCAACCATTGTTGATCTGCTATAGGCTCTTCAGTATGATGTCCTTCATCAAAACACTCCGAGGTTTCCGAATCACTATGATTTGACTCGCTGGCTTCTGATTCTGTTCGTTCGTCTTTGATCTCATAATCGGAAGGAAATTCAGAAGAACTTGTTGATGAATCAAAAGTGAATCGATATCAGAGTCTTCAATATCCATAGATTATAAAAATATAACTTGATTGATGATTGTTTCTTCGATGTTTGTGGTATACTGAGTGTGTTGCAATGGAAACGATAGAAACTGTTGGCCTGGGATGACGTCACACTGTCGCGCCAGTCCCCGCTCGGACAAAAGATTTTGACGCACTTAATTTTGGCTTTATTTTTCCGATTTCTTCCGAACCGTTTACAAAATGATCACCAAACCTTCACAGAAAGTCTTACAAGGTTCATAAGAATTGTTTTAGATAATAAAAAAAAATCGTGAAGGTGCACTTTAAGTTAAAGTACATAACTTTTTCACAGCTATAAAACTTTCATAGCAATAAAATAAATGAATGCCTTCATAATTGTATGCTTTTATACTTTTCAAAACTTTATCACTGGTCTGAAATATGCGATTGGTCCATTAGCATTTTTGAAAAGGAATAAGCTTATATCCATTTCAGATCGCCAAACAAATGCAATACTATTTAGTTTTGTCTGGAGCCACTATGACACTGAAATTGTTTCTACTATTTTTTAGATTTCTTTCGATAAGTTCTCATATAAAATTAGATTGCCGTTAGTGGTAGCTCTCTGGTTCAGGTAAGAAAAGTTCTTCAAAGGAATTAGCTTATATCCATTTCAGATCGCCAAACACTTATGCAATAAGAATTTGTCTGTTACCACTTTATAGGTCTTTATAAAATGACACTGAACTTGTTTCTACTATTTTTTTAGATTGCTTTTGACAAGTTCTCATAATTAAATTGCAGTTTAGTCATAGCTTTGCAGATTTGAAGGTAAGAGCTATAAGAAAGCTTGATTCACACGAAAATATGCCATAGAACTAAAATTACTATAACCTAAAAACGTTTAACGATATGATATGTATTTTAATATTAATTTATTGCTTTCGCTTTTAAATTTATTTAGAATTATTGCTTGCCTTTATATATTATTGCTGGTCTTTTTGACATTCTCCATTTTAAGCTTAATTTAGCTAAGAAAAGTCCTTTCGTGTCGGTATCAGAAAGATCAGTGTTCGAATACAATTTTACTATAACTTATATGTGTATTTTTTATATTTTATTCTTCCATGTTTGTCAGTTGGCATCTATATTTAAAGATCATGATGATAGTTTTGGAATACAGATAATTGCATAGCGTGCAATTCTGCGATTTTTTACTACAACGAAGTTGATTCAAAGCTAGCCGCCATTTCGGTTACTATGGAAACTGTTGAAATCAATACCGCTGGAAGGAAATTAATGACCGCAGCCATAAAYGAAAGAGAATTATATCTTTCTTGCGTGTATTTTTTGTTGTTTTCGCGAGAATAAACCGACACTTCCAAAATGTTATCGTAATTCAAATGCAATAATAAGGAATTATACCATAGCTCTTAATTTCTTAAATTATTTGATCTACTTGAATTTCATTTCAGTTAGGGCGGCAGTTTCTTTTAAAGATTGAGCTTCACACTTAACAAAAAAGCATTTTTTMAGTTATTTTGAGTTCTTAGTTGCTT